CCCCACCTGGAGCTCCTCCCAATGGACCAGCGCTGACTCGCCGCTGCTCTCCCGCACCGAAGGTAAGTGAAAAAAAAAACAAAACACATAGTGCAAACATCGGGGCATTTTTACAAGTACTCGTCAAAATGCCCTGTTTTTTCCGCCCTCACCCTGCAGCGCCCTCAGGCGGCCGCCTGACTTGCCTTGCGGTAGCGCCGGGCCTGCCCCTGACATCACCAACGGGCTACACATAATATATGAATGTATGCAAAGTCAAAACACCAGATCTGTATGCTTGGCTCAGGTCAGTGACTAAGCATTCAAGTTACCGGATCAGCCTGAGAGCCAGGCAAATAGCATTTTAAAAAAGAAACGCCGGGCGCCTTTTCTGGTGCAAACAATCCTTTTATTTCTGGCTGAGCTCTGAGGAAGGGGAAATTCCCCAAAAACGCGTTCAGCTGAGTCCGCTTGTTGATTGAGCTGGCTGAGCTCTGAGGAAGGGGAAATTCCCCGAAGGGCTAAGTGCTCAGTTTGTCTAGGGGGGTCAAATGAAGCAGATATACTCACCGGATCCTCTGTCCTGCCTGGTTGCTAGACTGGCCCCTACAGAGTCTTCTCCACGGGGCCCTGGTGGTCTACGGACCACTGATGTCATCATGTCTGGTGCAGGTCCATTGACTTGCATTAGACGTGAGGATGCCAAGGGGCATTCATCAGCCAGAGTGGAGGGCAAAGAGGCAAGTGCTGATCGCCATGGGATTGAGGGTCCAATGGGTATATCTGCCTTGTTTGACAAAACAAGCACCTCACCCTTGCAATGTGGGGTCTTCCAATGTAAGGGTACATTTTTAAAATTCCTGGACCATTTTGGAAATTTTTCCCCCCCACTAGAAGGGTCTACCAGAATGTGTCTGAATGGTAGCAACGCGTCTATAAACATACAATCATTGTCTGATCCAATCATGATTATTATTATAAGCTGTTATTTACATAGTCCCTCACAATATACCGTCCTGCACGTTATATAATAAAAGGATGCAAATTACAGACCTCGGATAATGACAAGCAGAGACGTGAACTCCGGATCAGTATACTTGTTCCTGGTCAATGCCCCAAAAAATGACTCAACAATAGAACTGGAGACAGTGGAGAGATATCTGTGCTGGAATCCAAAATACAGTATAATATATATATATTAGGGATGCACAGATACTGATCGGTGCCGATGCCGAGTATTTGGGCGAGCACTCATACTCGCCCAAATGCTCCGATGCCTAGCCCAATACCTGAGCTTCTGGTATCAGGAAGCCAGGCGGCGAGTCATTACACGCTGCGGGGCTTCCTGATTGGCTGGGAAGCTGGCTCCATGCTCCCTCATCGCTTGGTGAGGTGGGAGCATCAAGCCGACGTCTTGGCCAATCAGAAAGCCGGGCAGCATTTAATGACTCACAGCCTAGCTTCTTGTTTGGTCGGGAAGCTGGCCAATCAGAAAGCCAGTTGGCGAGTCATTACCCGCCCCTGATTGGCCAGGAAGCTGGCTTTATGCTCCCTCGTCATCTGCTGATGAGGGAGCAAAGAGATGGTTTCCCGGGCCAATCATGAAGCTGGGCGCCGTGTAATGACTCATTGCCCGGCTTCCTGATTGGTCCAGAAGCTGGCCAATCAGGAAGCCAGGCGGCGAGTCATTACCTGCCCCCCGGCTATCTGATTGGCCAGAAAACTGGCTCCATCCTTCCTCATCACTGCTGCCCTCTCTCCTTGTGCAGGGTGGCTGGTCTTGTCTCCACCCCCTCCTGTAATAAAGACCGGTCACTGATTCTCTCTCCCCTTGTGCAGGGTGACTGGTCTTGTCTCAACCCCCTCTTGTAATAAAGACAGGTCACTGTTGCTTTCTCTCCTTCTGCAAGGTGACTGGTCTTGTCTCCGCCCCCTCCTGTAGTTTCCTGCAGGGCCCCTCTCACAGCTCTGCTCTCTGCACAAACTATATACAGCACAGTGATTACATCACTGCTACTTTTACAAGGTAACAATTGGGTTTACAAAGGCATTTGGTGCACACAAAGTGGATTTATATCCTTTGTGGCTATTGAGGTATAGATTTAAATGGAAGCTTTTGTGCCCGGTGTTCAGCTTTAAGAAGTGCATTCCAGTCCTGAGAGACGCCGAGCATCGTAAAATGGTAGAACAAGATTGTCTTGTCAAGATTTCTCCTCGGCGCTTCCTGCTTCTTTTCTGTACCTTGACGGGAATCGGCGCTAATGTTTTTACTGTTAATCTAGTTCTGTTGATGTTTGCAGGTCACAAAACCGGCCAGGACTCCTCATGAATCCGGGTAAAGGCTGATATGCAAAATCATGCTGTAAAAACAATATTGAGGAACTTCGTCTTTAGAAAAATTCTTTGTGTCTCGAATGTTGTCAAAATGTAAGAAAGTAGACAATTTATCGGCACATCGTATGAGGGAGGTGATTCCTAACCAACACGCAGTGGCGGAACTATCGTCATAGCGACCCAGGTGGCCGCTATGGGGCTCGGGGCACAGCCAGGACGAGGAACAAAGGGGCCCCCCTGATGCCGTGCAGGCCGTCTGGGTCACTATGGCATTGCAGGCTGCTGGCTGTCACTGGCGGCTGTGAGGAGCAACGCGCCGCTGTTCAGATCACTGACAACCTGTTCCTCCTCACAGCTACTGCTAAGTCAGTGACAGCCA